GGGGGCGTTATGGGGGTGACGGTGGTGTTCTTAGGGGTTCTGGACCCCTTTTTTTTCTTCTTTTTTTCTTTTTTTGGTTGCGGGGTGCCGACGACCCCCGACCGGTAAGTGCTGACCAGCCGACCGGTCGGGGTGTGCAACCCTGTTGTTAGGTTATGAAGTGCCCAGGGAAATCTACGACACGCACACACACACACACACACATGAGCTGCTCATCTGGGTGGAATAGAAGCTGTTGCAGTGAGAATTCAAAACACACATGAGCTGCAAGAACAAACAAAAGGGTACCCCAAAGAGAACCAAAGTAAAGATACTTACGGAAGGGAAACAATGGGTCTGTTGTGCTCCGTGTTGCTTCTTGCTACATGGGTAAGACTGTTTCATTGTTGAAGTGGCTCGTCTCAATTGTGCTTCATTGTCTGCAATAGAGGTGAATTTGCTTTGATTTTGGATCCACTGATCTGGGTGGAACAGGGGTTGTTGTGGTGCGAATCTAAAACACCCATGCCTCAGGTTTTGTCAGTGCATGTGCCTATGTCTATGCTTGTGTCTGTGTTTTGTTTGAACGGAAGCACTTGGCATGACAAATTCATTATCAAGATCTCAATCGTGAATGGACCAGCCAATGGAGATTTATACCAGCCAACAGCTGATGATATATCACTCCGTTCATGACAGAGGTGACCGCAGAGGCTCGTACTGGTAAAAGTACTGAAAACAATGAACTCGGTCATTTTAGTGGGATTTTGCCGCTACTTCACATGCTACCGTCTTCACCCGAATCGAACGCCCGGTCATTATCGCTGTATGTAGACTGAAAATTGCACCAAATATGGCTATAATGACCGGGCGTTCTATTCGGGTGAAGGCGGTAGTATGATGGTACATTGTTCATGACAGATCTTTATTCGGTTGGCAGTTCTGAACATGTCAATACCTTTGTGAATCTTGAGTGAAGTTCAGCAACAGAGCTGCAATAAGGACAACAGACAAGTTACTCACTTAAAAGTTAAAAAAAGTTAAAACTTAAAAAGTCTTCCGTTGAGGTACACTTTGTTGTGAAAAGGGGGCAGCAGAACCGTGGATGAAGCACACACGAAACGAAAGAAAGGAAGGAAGGAAGGAAGGAAGGAAGGAAGGAAGGAAGGAAGATATCGCTTTCCAGCCCATGTGGCTGAATGGTATACCTCTCAAGAGTCTCAACTTTTGGTTGATGACACAGACTCTAGTAACCTAGATAACTCTAAATTACACGGGACTGGTCAGTTTGTCGATCGTATCTCAAGCTTGGCCACCCTCGTAAAAAAAGAAGTAAAAGAGAGATGTCGCAAACCAGAGAACAAGCAAGAGGTACACATGCTATTCTTGAATCTGTGGATTACCAACGAAGTAGGCCTCCCATGGTCTCTCACCACCTCCTATCGCAGACAGCTCTCCTGGCTAGAAAACGGTACATGGAAAATCGACCATGTATGAATAGAAGAAAAGAAAGAGCGGGCAATGGAATCAGACCTGAGTTTAGGGACAAACTTAAAGGACGGCGCTCCTTCGCCAAGAACCTCACGGCCCTGCCATGAAGCATCGGACAGACTTACTTGGGGAGGACTTCAACAGAAGGACGCCATGTGCCTCGGGTCTCGGCCCCCCCATCAACCCAGGCAATCCCTGTCGCTAGACAGTGCAACCAAGTGTGCGAGGAGTCCGGTGAGATTCATATCGTTCTCCATCGCTAGCATGTGCAACTAAGTGTGGGAGAAGAGGGTGTCCTCGCGGAAGGATTCAGCAATTCCTCATCGCTAGCAACCAAGCGAGGGAGATGCTGAACAAGGATCAGGAGTACCAAACCCGGGAACACCTCTCTGGCAAAAAGTTGGGTATCGGCCCACAAGCCCTTGGTTAATCTTCGAGCCTGGTAGAAGCGTTGTGGAACTAGAGATAGACCCGGGCGAGTGGAGTTGGTTTCAGAAGGCCCCAAGACAAAAACCTATGCCTCTAGCAGATTACAGAGTCCATTTTCTTGGATACAAAACGTCGGTCCTTCCGCAGGCTGAAGTGGCCAATTGCACGTTTACCCTTATCCCTCAGCCAATGGATGCGATGAACACAGAAACGGTCAGATCCCAATAGCTCTGCAATCTGTGTGCTGCAGAGTCAAACAGCTATGGATGTCCCCCTTCGTAATCCCCCCAATCACTTCCCCCCTCACAACCCTGCTCTCCATCAAGCTCCCCCCTTATCTACTACCGTCTTCCACCGAACACAATGCACCCCCATTTTGCCTGTATGGGGCCGGAAACATACCTTGTATAAATTCATTTTCAGGGTGCGTTATGTTCGGGGGAAGACGGTAGGGAGTGAGTCCATAATCAAGAACATGGTCAAATGTTTGACAATGAAGTCAAATCCAAGGCACGGTACAGGTGACACCAATGTCACTAGTTATGTTCAGAACTACAGGAGGGCACGCCATAATCTGGACCTTACAGAGGTTCTTTGTAGTCAGGTCAAGATGACAACCCCAAGGCAAGGTTATGGCAGAGAGAGACAGAGAGGAATCCATGAAGGAAAAGGCTATATCGATATCCAACAGCCAATCTTCGTGCATAAGGAGCAGTCACCTCATGGGTTCTTTGTTTGGTCTTAGCCGAAGGAAGTACGAGTGTGTTGCTCGTCTATTTTTACTGTTTATAAATAGTTATCAAATTGCCAGTGGAATAGGGACTCGGCTGATGCTCCTCGGAATGGATACATGGAGCCAGGCCCATAAGGGGTCCTTTTTTTTTGTTTTCTCCATAAGGTCCTGTTTTATGTATGAACAACACAAAGAAGATTGAGTTGCATGGTGCACTTGCGTGTTGGTCATTGACATTACGGTCCTCCAACGAGGTGGGCCACCTCCTGCTCGCGACTCTGTGGTTGGTGGCTTGAAGTTTGAGCTTTGTCCTCTGTGCACTAGTTGAGAGAAACGGAATTTTAATTGGCTCCAATCGATTTCAAGTTTCAATCCTATCACTCAGTTGGTACACCTACGAACTGTCGAAATGCAATTGGAATCTGATGAGTGAAAACAACTCTGAATTTAACTGGGTCTGGTCAGCTCAAAGATGGAATCTGACGAGTGAAGACGAACTCTGAATTTCAACCGAGTGATACGATTACTCATCAGATTCCAATTGGAGTTCGGATTCCAATTGGAATCTGATGAGTGAGAACTGTAACTCTGAATTTAACTGGGGCTGGTCAGGTCAAAGATGATGATATCTCGATGCCATCGCCCTTTTGAAAAAGAAACACATTCTTGTTTTGTTCTCCCCCCCCCCCCCAAATGTAGCATGGTAGACATTGTTAGGCAAACGACTTACTCGAAACTGAGACATCGAAAATCTCTTTTGAGATGGTACACAATTGGGAAGAAAGGGAAAAAAAAATGGCGTTGCCATGAAGTTTGTTCTTTTGAAATCTGACTGTGGTCTCTTACTCAAACGGGCACCACGCAGGTAGTTGTGCTTAATGCGGCAGCTCTCGTCCTTGCTTTGCTTTGGGGCGTTGCTCTCGGTTTCTTCTGCTACTTCAACTGGAGGCAAAATCCAGTCCCTGGATTCACCGAAGAAGAAGCAATGGTAAGTTGACGAATATCCACCATAGCTGGACACGCGTGCACACCATTGACATGTTTCTTTCTCTTCTTTTGCAGACGCCCTCGTTGCGGAACATTGAAAGGGGTTTTGACTTCCAAGAGGGAGTAGACATGGGATTTAAAGGGGGCGGAAGGGGTTTATAAATGGGTTTTAAAGGGGGTTGAAAGGGGTTTTGACTTCCAAATTCCAAGGGGTATATTACTATATTTCGGTTTAATTTTTTGTTTTCTTCCCCCCCCTCCCCCGAATTTACAAGGCATTCTGAAAAAGTGACCCTCAGCCAAAAGTTGGTTGCGTGAGCCATCGTCACGTATAGCCGGCTTCTACCTTTGGGGGCGCTTACCACCCTGATGGCAGATGTTAGGCTCTTGAGCGATGTGAAGATGAAAAAAAAAGAAAAAAAAAAGTTGGATGCATTGCAAATCTAGACATCTTTTTTTTTTTTTTTTTCAGATTTTTTTTTACTTCTTTTTTTTATGGAATTTTGGGGCCCACTGAAGTTGCCACCAATTTACCGAATATAGCGCCCGGGCGTTATAACTTATAAACGAATATAATTCAATATATTATTCGTATAGAACGTCCGGGTGTTATTTTCGGGTGAAGATGGTAATTGAAACAGATTCCGGAATCTCCTGGCCCTGGTCAGTTCCTGGCCCTGGTCAGTTCCAGCCTCCAGGATGATATATCTCAAGAGTCAAGACCATTGGCCTTTTGTCGAAAACGACGAAAATACTATTACAACTCTGGGCTTTTCAGTCGTGCATGCCACAATGCTGAACATATGGCGGCCAGAGCAGGACAGCCAATCGGCGCATTTGTTTGTGCAAGAACAACCAGAAAAGGTAGTTTTGAATTTTGAAAGGGTAACAAATTAACAATATAGATAGGGTAATAGATCAAGTGGAAAGGGTCCAGGTAGAAGGCGGCATTCATGGCTGTAATGAGCAACCACTTGTGGGTGGGCATTCCCAATCAGTATGAAATTAGCCCTCCCAAGTTCCCATGCTGGCGAAGTAAATGCTAAAGATTGACGTCTTGGAGGGAGGCAGGCTACAAGATACTTTTTCGATTAACCGGACACATAAAAAAATGCGCGTCACTGCGGTCAGCGACATGACATTCTTTCTTTTTTGTTCAGTGCACTGAGGGAGAGGAGGGATGTATGCAAATAAGCACATTATAAGCATTTCATGCAGAGAAAGGGAGGTTGCATGTTGCAGTTAAAATGACTACGATGGGACAGACACGAAAAATTGAAGATGATACAGACATGACAAAATGACGCACAATGTACGCCAGTTAGAATTGGGAGATGCGTCTGTTTGTCTTGATGTATATATATATATATATATACTCACGTATACTCTCTCTCTCTCTCTCTCTCTCTCTCTCTCTCTCTCTCTC